TAACGTCTCCTTTAATTGCTTTATCTCATCCTCCCAATTACCAGTAATCACAATATCAGAATTAAATTTTGCTACTGGAGCAAAGGTTTCCTGGTGCCCTGTGTCTGAGTGAATCCTTTGGCCACAAGTCTTGCTTTATGGCGATTAATACTCCCATCTTCATTATATTTGATGGTAAAAATCCACTTACAGCCAACCACTGATTTTCCTTGTGGTAAGGTAACTATCTCCCAAGTGCCATTTTTTTTGAGTGCATGCAATTCATCCTGGATAGCAGAACACCATTCAGTAGTCTTAGATGCCTCAAAGTAGGATGTAGGAATGGTTTCCTTGTCAATGTTCTTGACTAGATGCTGCATCCTGGAGGAAAGATTAGCATAGGATATAAAATTACAGATGGAATGACTTGTACATGTCCTTACCCCCTTACGAATGGCGGTTTGGGAAAAATAAGGCTGATGTTCAAAAAAAGTGACATCTTTAGTAATGTAGAATCGATGTGTGGCTGGACTGAAGCATTTATACCCCTTCTGAGTAGGGGAATAGCCAAGAAAGATGCCCTTAAGAGCCCGAGGATCCAATTTACCACCTTGAGAGTTATGAATGAACACGGTGCAACCAAAAATTTTTGGTGGGAGATTTGGGGTTAAGGTCAATGAAGGGAATGCAGTGAGGAGTGTTTGGTAAGGTGAGGAGAAGTGTAATACCCGAGATGGCATGCGGTTGATAAGGTAAGTGGCTGTAAGAATAGCTTCCCCCCAATAATTTTTGGATGTATTTGAGGCAAAGAGTAGGCTACGAGCAACTTCAAGTAAATGGCGATTTTTTCTCTCAGATACACCGTTTTGTTGTGGGGTATTGACACAAGAGCTCTGGTGGATGATGCCATGGTCTTTTAGGTAAGCTGAAAGGTCCAAGTTAAAATAATCACGTGCATTGTCAGATCTAAGGGTAAGGATTTGGGTTTGAAATTGGGCAAGGATCATTTTGTGAAAGACTTTAAAGGTGGATGTGACTTCAGATTTATTGGCTAATAGGTACACCCATGTCATTCGAGTATGATCATCAATAAATGTGACAAACCAACGAGCACCCGTAAGGCTTTTAACAGTTGCAGGTCCCCACACATCACTGTGGATAATGGCAAATGGTTTAGAAGGAACATGCATTTGTAAGGGATAATGAGACCGAGTTTGTTTTGCAAGTTGACATATATCACATGAAGGAAAATTCGAATTCTCATTAAATAAAGAAGGGTACATCTTTTTCATATATTGAAAGTTTGGATGCCCTAATCTAAAATGCCATAAAAGAGCCTTATTCAAATTGCTAGTTGCTGCAAATGTGCTGTCTTGAGTCTTCATAACCGCGGCTGTGTAAAGTTGATATAAACCATTAGAGACCCTAGCACTGCCAATCGTCCTCCCCGATGCCAAATCCTGAAAAATACAATCAACGTGGGTAAATTTGACTGTGCACTTTAAATCCTTGGTCAATTTGGTAATAGAAATTAAATTGCAGGTAAGAGATGGAACGTAGAGAACTCCAGTTAAAGATATGGTTGACGATAGGTGAACAACACCAATTCCGTGAACCTTGGCTAAGCCTCCATTTGCTGTTTTTACTGATTTTGCCTCGAAAATGGGAAAGTATTCAGAAAGAAGAGAGGAATTACCAGTCATATGATCTGTAGCCCCAGAATCTACCATCCAGGAATCACATTTATCAAGATCGGATTGGAGAGCTGTATGGAATGTACCTGATTGATGACTATCAGATGAGGGATTAGATTTGTCCTTATTGCAATCTTGCAGCATGCGTTGTATGGCTATCACTTGTTCCCTTGTAAATGTATGGCCTTCGGATTTTGCTTGCGGAACATCTTCTACAACTGCAGCAACATGATTAAAGTCTCTGTTTTGTCTTGGCTTCCAATCAGCTGGCTTGCCATGGATTTTCCAGCATGTATCCCGAATATGCCCAGTTCTGTTGCAATGGTCACACCAGAGCTTACCATTTCGCCTAGGTCTGGAGTCTGCATTGTTGGGTCTAGAGACAAAGGCTGCTGCTTCCAAAGGTGCATCAACTTTTGGGATGCTATTGGTCAAAACTTTGCGGCTTTCTTCCCACTTTAATTCAGAAAAAACTTCTCGCAAGGATGGCAGAGGGCGAGTGGCCATGATGCGGCTGCGAGCTCCATCATAGATTGGATTGAGTCCCAAAAGAAGGTTGTAGGTGCGGTCTTGTTCAACAATTTTCTTATACTGAAGAGTATCGGCTGGAGTAGTCCATTCATGTTGATCATAAAGATCCAATTGTTGCCAGAATTTTAGGAGTGAATTATAATAGCTGGTGACATCCTTGTCCTCCTGTTTGAGATCACGAAGAATCCCCTTGATGTGAAACAAGGCAGCTGTGTTATCTTCCTTAGAGAAGGCTTCCTTCACGCCATCCCAAATTTCCTTGGCTGTGGAGCACAACATGTATGTTTCAGCTATTTCAGGCACCATGGAATTCAGCAACCAAGACATCACAAGGTTATTTTCAATGGACCACTTCTTGTATTGTGGATGACTGGTTTCCAGAGGAGCAGCATCACCCGTACCGGTGAGATGATCTCCCTTGCCACGGCCTCCAATGAACATACGAACGCTGCGTGACCACAACAAATAATTGTCTCCATTGAATCGATGACCAGTGATGACTAATGCTGGACTATCGTTGGTAATGACAGCTGCTGAGTTGTTGTTGGTTTGGTTTGATGCTGAAACATTGAGTGGGGTTGTTGTTGGAGTGGTATTTGTACCGGTGGTATTGGAAGAAGTAGTTTGGTAGGCTCTCATGGTGCCAAAGAGTGGCACATTGGTAGCCATGGGTGGATCAGTCCCTTAAAAATCAAGCTTTGATACCATATAGAAAGTTTGAATGATGGAACCAGTTTTTCCATTAAAACTAAAAGAAAAAAAAACGTACAATAAATAGACACCAGAAATATTCCAGTGCAACAAATCCCTATAATCAGGGAAAGAGATAAAACTAGAAAACTGAATCCTATTTTAACTAAACAGGAAAAATATCAGAAACAAACTAATCCTAGGAATTTAAATAACAAATAACGAAACAAACTCCTAAGATTAAGGAGGAAAAATAAAACATTCTAGATGCTGAAAACTAGGGATTGCAACAAAAACCAAATTTACGAAGTGCTAGCTAAAGTTGTACACTTGGCCCAAACACCCAAAAAAACAAACAAGCAATATTAACCAAATGATAGTAAGATATTTTGGAAGTTATTTTATTATGAAAAAAATATTTTTTTGGAGATCATAAAATCCCATAGGATATTTCGTCAACACTTATAGGATAAGAAAACCAACTCAATGATAATAATTCACTTTGGAATTGTCTGCCACTATATTGAACAAAAATCAAATACATAAATAAATAAGGACTCCCCTGTATAATTGCGTTTTAGGTTTCATGTGTTTCAATCTATTTTATCTCTGTGATTGCTAAACGATAATCACTGCCTGAGACAAAGACAAAAAAACTAAATTTAACTCTTCCATCTTACCAATATAAGAAACTCTTAACTGTACTAGCCATTGGGAAGTTACAAACTAGAACAAATCAGAAAGAAGAAAGAACCAGGAGGCAGCATCCCAGTTTTCCATTCTCCTATCTCGTTCTAGGATAGTCCCAATTGGGAGAGGATCAGAGGAATGAAATTGCTTCCCGTTCAAGATTAAACGCAGCATTTTGGTGCCCAAACTTTAATGGACAGATTGGTTATGCTGGTCCAACTCCAACGTATGATCCCCTTTACAAATGGCCTAAGATAGCCAGATAACCTTCCAGTCATGTACTGGAGTGGACGTCAACAACTTTATTAGTGTTGACCAGCAGTTTTATTCCATGCGAGTGTATATTTTGAGTAGATTTTGTTGGGGTGACTACTGATTAGAGGCATAAACTCGGGCCAGTTTATGATTGTACTCATGATTTTGACTACCATGCCTATAAGCATCATTAATCTCATTTGAATATCATGATATATTGCTAGACTTTACGCAATAATATAACCTTTATTATTTGTTGCTACTGGCCAACAATTTAATTTGCATGTGATGACTGTTGTACTTCTTGTGGTAGTGCAGGTACAGCTCAAGCCTTTAATGGACCAAGTCAGTTGGGTAAAAGACATGCCTGTTCCAGAATTTGGCAGTCTTCAAGCGTGGGAAGCTAGAGCTAGTGCTGCTGGGCGTGCAGCTAACGGAGATATCAATGCTGGTGATTCAAAAATTTCTCAGCTGGGATATAATGGAGCACCAATGCCTTACAGTGGAGATACTAAGGTAACATTCTCCTATTTTAAAGGAAGATATCATTTCTGGCATGTGAGAGAATCGGCAATCTTGCTCCATTCTTTTCTTTTTTCAATTTTCTTGTTGGTTCTCTTCCTCTCTTTGTTTTGGATGATATATTATCAGAAATGGATATTCTCATGTTAAATAAAATATGACATGGTCATGTGGGGAAATCACAACCACATAAAGGTAAATCAACGGTGATGATTTTGTAACTAACTATTTCGATATATTTTATCTCTCTTCCTTTATCATCATTCATCCACCTTTGTATGGTTATGATTCCCTCACATAACCATGTCATGTTTTATTTAACATGAGAGGATCCACTTCCATATATTATCCTCTTCATAGTTGTACATTCCCTCATTTCTCTCTAATAATATTTCTTATTTTACCCAAAAAAAAATCATGCTCTGAAATATAACCTAGAGATTCAAATTCATCAAAGTAATAATACATAAGTAGACAAAATAACTATCAGCACTATCCCTTTTTTTATAATAAAATATATCAGCATTATTTGATCACCAAATGCAAAGGAAAGTTATAATGGATCAAGGAATCACAGGTTGTTATGAACCTCAAAACAGAGTCTGAATTCTCATATTGAAAGAGCTGAGAAACAAAAAAACCACTCCCCATTAAACCCCGATTAGCGAGGGTGGGGTGAGGGCAATGTAAATTGGCTGGGCTGGGCTTTGGCCATCCTGGCCCAAGCTTACGTCAAAAAAAATTCAGCCGATCTAGCCTACTGGCCTATTAAAGGCTTTATTTGTAGGGCAAGCCCGGCCCATTTTCAGAAATAAGAAAGTCTGACATGGCCTACAGGCCTTGTAGGCCTCCCACTATATATACTAACATCAACATCAACATCAACAACACCTTTATCCTAAATTAATTGGGGTCGGTGGTAGATGAACCCACATGAAAGATACAAAACGGTTGAAAACAAGTAAAAAAATAAAATAAAATAAAAAATAAATAAATAAATAAATAAAAATACACAAATAAAATAGTAAAATAAAATAAAATGAAATAAAAATATATGTATATATAAATAAATAAAAGTAAAAAAGAAAGGGACAAGAAGAAGTGGGGGAAATGAAGGGGAAAAGGACTAAAAAAGGACCATCTGGAACATAGGAATAACAGCGAGTCTAACCCTCCACCATACTTATAGCTTTTCTCCATTCCTTTCTAAGACATACTGTCCGCCAATCTATATCCCACTCCATTAAATCTTGTTTTACTACTTTCTCCCAAGTAAGCTTCGGCCTACCTCTGCCTCTTTTTGTGTTTAGCTCTTGGTAACAAACTTCTGTTCTTACAGGAGCATCCATGGGTCTTCTCATCACGTGCCCAAACCACCTCAATCTATGTTCTCTCATCTTCTCGGCTACCGGTACTACTCCGACCTTTCGTCGAATATCTTCATTTCTTATCTTATCCATCCTTGTGTACCCACACATCCACCTTAACATCCTCATCTCTGCTACTCCCATCTTATGCTCATGTTGCCTATGTGCTGGCCAGCATTCCGCTCCATATAGCATTGCCGGTCGTACTGCCGTTTTATAGAATTTTCCTTTTAACTTCAGGGGAATTTTGCGGTCACACAGAAATGCAGATGCACTACGCCATTTCATCCACCCTGCTCTGATTCTGTGATTTACATCCTCATCAATCTCTCCACTATATATACTAAGCAAAAAAATAATTGTATAGAGCAAAGAAAGTTCTATTCATGCATGCACTAGTACTTCTCATAAGAAAAAAATGACAAACAAGAAAGAGTCAACATAATACCTCAGCTCTAGAATGTATATCATAGAGGAATAAAGTCAAAGAAATGAGAAAAATAAAGAAAATACAATTACTGGATGCTGAAATAAAGTCTACAAGAGAATGTCATTCATCTAAAAATCTTTAAACCACCATCAAGACAAGGAAAAGAAGAGTAATATTGAAAGATCTTCATCAGTAACATCATAATCCAGCAAGGTACCCATTGCTCCATGGTATTAAGCTGCAACAACATGTAAAATTTGGAGACATTAGACAAGTTTTCCTTTCATAAAATAAAATAGCACAAAAAGTAAGAGATATTGGTATTTGGTACTTTGTGTCTTTGTCACATAAAATAAATATTATTTTATTATTTTATTTTAATAAATTAAATAGGCCAGCCTACAAGGCTGTAGGCCGGGCTTGACAAAATTGGCCTATGGCCTATTTATTAAAAAAGTTTTTTTATAAGCCTAAGCCTACTCTACTTTTCTGAAAGGCTGGGCCTGGGCTGGGCTCAATGTAGGCCAGGCCGTAGGCTGGGCTGGGCCAGCCGAGCCCATTTACACCCCTAAGGGCAATCCTTGTGCACAGCCTTACCTTTACATAATTGCAAATAGTTTGTTTCCTGGATTCGAACCCATGACCTTTCAGTCACAAAGCAACAACTTTACCACTGTGCCGGTTCGCCCTCTTTAAAGAGTTGAGAATAGAGAAGAGAAAATGAAAAAGAATACTTCTGTATTGATTTACATAATCACAAAAAAAAAGAACAGAAGAGAGAGTCCTCCTTCCGATGGTTTCCCTTTTTCCAACCAACCACTGCTCTGTTTACAAACTAGAGCATGCCGTAAATTGGCATGACATGAATGTAAATAGGATTTGTGTTTGTGAGGTGGTAACTTGGAAGTCCGTGTCTCCAGTGTATCATGAAAATACTTGCCAACTTGCTTGATTATCTTGGTTCAATGTCTGTTTTTCTTTCTCCCTATTTTCTGTTGCAAGTGACTAGTGAATGAATACGAAGGACGGTGCTTGTGTTGCTTTCAAGTTATATTATAATGAATCTTCTATGCAGCTTTAAATTTTAGCATTGGGCATATTCACCTTACAAAGTTGTTAATGTGAAGTTGTCTATCGATGGATGTGGACAGGTTGTTGTTGACTTCAATGGTACCGAGGTTAAAGGAGAGGGTGTTAAGTCTGAAAATGAAAGTGCATCTTTAAAGGTTTTGCCTCCATGGATGATTACATCAGGGATGAATCTTACAAAGGAACAACGTGGAGAGGTGAAGCAGGAGACAAAGATGGATGGGACTTCAGCTTCTGCAGCAACACAATACACGGATGACAAGAAGTCAATGGTTGAGCATGATGATAATAAAAATATACAGGTTCGTAAAATAAGATGAACTGTTAGTTTCTTTATGTTTTGATTCTTTTTGTTGAGTTCCTTTCCCCTGCCTTCCAATGGCATGAGAAAGTTTTTGTTCACTAAAGATTTTTCTTTTTCCTTTTGTGTTTTTATAGGATGAATATATTAAGGCTTATTATGCTGCTTTTCTTAAGCAACAACATGAAATGGAAGAAGCTGCAAAAAATCAATTGTCAAATACACATGCAGCAGATGATCCTTCTAGCAGTACTTCCAATCGTCAAGTTGGCATGAAATCAAAACGCGAGGATGATGAGGAAGATGATGATGGTACTGAGTGGGCGGAGGCTCCAATTGGAGGTACACTATTTTTTGAATGTGTTTAGTCTGAAGTTTGGGTTCTTAAAGTTTAAATCTTTCATCCCTGCATATATGATTGCTGATGTTTGCAAATCTATGTTTGATGTCCCCTCTCCCCACTAAAAAATTGAAATATAAAGATGTCATAAATTTTAAACATTAATGTGATTACTAATCATAGTTATCAATCTTGGATAGCTCGCAGAGAGGATTTGAGTACGTACCATTCCAAACATGTTTTAAGAAATCTTTTAAAATCTCCTATCTCCAATGTTCAAGAATTGCATAGGAGGTATTTTGTCTTTTGAAATTTTCACATAGAAGAGCAGGAGGAGAGAGAGAGAGAGAGAAGGGGGGGGGGGGGGGGGGGGGTCGTTGTTCCCATACTTGGTGTGAAATTGATTTTCAGTACCTTTTTGGAATGCGGAACTAAAATATGAATCTTCACTATACCTTTTAAGAAATCTTTTAAAATCTTCAATGCTAAAAGAATTGCATAGGAAGCATTTGTCTTTTGAAAATTTCACATAGGGGACTTCATTGTAATTTCAAAAATTAAAAGGGGGATTTTCATAAGCTTTGTAGAACTCAATAAATGGAAGTGTATTTTACTTGAAACTAATTATAATATATTCCTGACTTCCTCTTCCTGGCCACCTCAGCCTCAGGAAACCTTATATATGAGAACTAGATGTAGGAGCTTGTTTATTATTATTGATCTGAAAAGTATTTTTTTTCAGAGTTGACTGTCATCAGAAGTATTAAAAAAAAATTAAAAATTTCTTTGTATGTTGTGTTAATATTGACGTGGTCCCCTTCTGAATTTTCCTTTTTTAGTTAGTAACTCTTTTCCTCCTTTTTTTAGTTTCTTTTTCCTTTGGTTGATAATGTTATTTGTGTCCGCTCATTTATGCTCTGGGTGTATTTGTAAAGGCAATGGAAATGAAGGTTACAAGGTCAATGACTTGAATGTTCAAGCTGATGATGTTCCACCAGATGATGAGGAGGAGGACGACGTTGACTGGGAGGAAGGTTAATGAAAAAAATTATCTGATCAGTGTGAATGTAATGGCTTATTGTAATCTGCAAGGGCAAGTGCTCATATTATAATTCTGCTCCAAATTATGTACCTCAAGACCGGAGGTAACTGCTCATTATATTATTGGTTGTGCATGTTGCTGTGGTGATGCGTCCGTTGTTTAAGAGAAGGTGCGCAGTTGACTTTGAGTTGTTTATCATCATATTTTGGATGACCAACAACTATACTTTTAAACTTCGCATGTTATGACCGTCCAATGATAGTGCCTCTAGCTTCATTTCATTATGATCACATTACTATTTACCAGTGGATACATAGATTTGTGAATAGTGGGCCATCCCAATGTTTTACCTGTGGTGCTGCGCACACCAATGAAGAAAATTGTGAGCCGTGAATTATATCTACCTGTTCCATTCCCGACAAAGCCCTTCTTTTAGCAAAGTCCATCCAAGTTGTTGTTCATTTCCGGAAGATATACAAAAGGTTTAAAGTGAGGTGTGCAGTTTGTTCATTGTTGGCTCGCATCTTCAATTAAAGTCAAAACTTGATATCTCATGAAATTGGATTTAATAATTTATTTATTTAATGTTACTAAATAGTTTTGGAATTAATGTTTCGATAGGATATAATTTTATCTCTTATAATATATTAAAATATGTGGTTCCTATGTAAGGCCATGTAAAGAAAAGAGAAAGAAAAGAAAAATATAGGTCTAACATATTTTTATGTATGGGTCTAACATATTTTTATGTGTGTATAAAAAATAAAATTTATCTCCTATAACATGAGAAACATTAATTTCAATATTTTTAGGAATTAATAATTTTCATCTTATAGGAGATAATTTTATCTTTTACATACAGATAAAAGTGTGATAGATTCATGTTGGTTCATATTAGAAGAGAGAAAAAAAATATGGGTCCCACGTTGTAAAAGATAAAATTACTTTATATAATATAAGAAACATTAATTTCATATTTTTATCATCATATTATTTATAATACTAAGTTTATTTTAAAAAAATATTGATAAATAATTTGTAAGAGATCATAATTTTAAAAACTTGCATGATCATTTAAAATAAAATTAATGCATCTAATTTGATCACCATTTTTTTTGAGTTGATTTACTTATATTATACTAGCTCGCAAGCATTCGAATGCTACGATGCTGTATTCGTTTATTTAAAAGGATCAAGATGTAAACTTTCGTGCATTTAACTCTTAAGCCGTGAAAAATAGAGGTCAAAATGTGTATGTATTATATGGAGGTAACATGTTTCGTTTACTCAATCATAAGAGAAAGCCGGCAACATATTCTGCGACTCACATGCCTCAAGCCCTTTGGAAGGGATTTGACAATTTTATCAATTCATTTATCAACGTAAATCCAAATAAGTAATATATTTGAAAGAGTACATGTACAGGTGAAAGAGTCTAATTGAAGGAAGTGTTTTCAGCTCTTCTATGCAACTTTAGCGTATTCCAACGTGTATATATATAATATGAACTATGGAGTACAGACGTGTGGATTGGTACAATATGGTTTACGTGATTATTATAATGAAATGTAAAGTATTGATGAAGCGGATCTGAATATTTAATGCCAGCTCGTTTGAACTGACGGTATTGAGTCTATTGACCAGTGACATAGTTAATAGTCATATATATTATACTCAAAAATAGAAAAGGTAAAAAGGGAAGAAAATACATGAGATAGTATATGTTTTCTTTATTTAAAATTAAATGTCGGTCAATACTGGAAAATAAAAATAAAAATCGGAGTCAAAATAATCTCGTAAGTCTTTTCTCTCATTTTGCCGACTATACTGCACGTTGCCATAACGTGCGTTCAGATGAAGGTTATTTTCAAAGAATATAAATTTATTCTAGGAAGATGAAAAAAGAAATAGAAGGAGGATATCAAGTTAAATGAATTTGGGCAACTTTTATTCCATTCTTGTTTTCTTTTTTTTAAAAATCCCTAAATTATTTTAAAATTATGTACAGAATATAAATATATAAAATTTATTTAATAAATTTTGTTTTTGAAAATAAGTTTTAAAAATTTGATGATACTTTAACGGGACGGTGACGATGTAAGTGATGGTTTGAAGTAAAAATGCAGAATTCATAAAAACAAGTGGAAGAAAAAAGAGAGTTGTAAAAAGATAATTAGAGAAAAAATAAATGGAATTTTTTTTTTGTATTTTAATTTTCAAAAGCTAAATATTATTTCTAAAGATAATTATTGAACAAAACCTTCATTTCGCACTTATTTAAGATTGCTCCACTTCTCTTGTACACATATTCAATGGAGGTGTTGTTTTTCATAGGTGAGGAGGAGGGTTGGAAATTTGGAATTCATGGTTTTGACAAATTTAAGAACCCACCAAATTCTACTAGACAAAGTACCTTTCCGAGACGTCGTCCCTCTCTCTCTCTCTACACTTAATAGGCTACAAAAGATTATATTATATGTTTTTTAACAGGTCATATATATGCTTCATATTCATTGATAACAATACATACCAGATCTAAAATAAGAGATGCTTGTGTTTTAGGAACAAAACAAAATTGAAAATTTTGCCATAATATCCTTTATTTATGCAATGAATAGATCAATTGCTTGTTTATCTTTCCAAATTCCAATTAGCAGTTTTATTGGACAAATGTTGGTATTACTCATTCACACATATCCGAATTCATATATATATATACCCATCCCTACGTACCCCAAGTTTCAATTTTCTTGACCTGGTTTAGAGGTAGTACCAATATATAATTCAAGGTTTGACAATCTGTTATTAATGACCCATTTGTTTCTTGAACGCAAAGGAAGCTTCATTGGAAGAAGAATGCTCGACAATTCTGCCCCCTCTCCGCATCTACTGGACCTTCCAATTTAACTCACTCCCTCTCTCTCTCTATCTCTAATTAATTATAGCATATATATATACACACATATATATATATTCATATATAAAATTATAATTTATAAGCTAAAGTCTCATGGAAGCAAGCATTCTCTCATATCAAGCTTCCGTAGCAGCATTTCTTATGCATGCTTAGCACCTTCAAGCTGTCATAGCTTCAAAAGTTTCCTTTCTTTTTCTTCTAAAACCCCGTTAGTTTGTCATCAAATTTTCCTTCCAAAAATCTTCACTCTCTCCATGCAATCGTTCCATTCTCTTTGTACTTTATCTCACCCATCAAGATGGTCATGATCATCAGAATCAGATTCCAACATGTACTTAGCTTCATTCTTTGCCTATCCTTGTGTTTGATACTCTTTCATGGGTGGTTTGGATTCGAGTCCTATAATGATAACACCGTCATCAGCAACAACCAACAACTACAGTTATATGCTTTCCGAAATAGGAAAATATTAGCAACCGGATTTGATTTCACCCCATTTCTCCACCACCACCACCACCACCGACATCATCATCGGCACCACCACCACCATGATCACCACCACCGGAGTCACATGCCGCCTCATCTGGAGCCAAAGGAAACCGAGATTGATCCACGTTATGGTGTTGAGAAACGCCTTGTTCCAACCGGTCCAAACCCATTGCACCATTAATTAATGAGGTTCACATACTTTTTTTTTTTTTTTTTTTTGCTTTAATTCTTCACCCATCATGGTAATGTAATTTTCTGTATTCATAAAAGGAGAAATTTGTCTAGTCTTAAAAAATTTGTTATATAAACTGATAAATTTTGTATTTTGTATTATTGTTATTATTATTATTATTATAATACTTCATTGGTCTTTTTTTTGTTTGAAATTTACAATTATAGAGTTTTGTTTTAATCATCCACACACGTACGACTATGTGGTCTACTCAATTTGGTTAAACAATATGCATCCACTATTAAGAATGAGATGCTTAAAGTTAAATATAACGCAAATTGATAGGGAAAAAAAAATAGTATTTTGTTTGATTCGTAGTGGTTGTGACGGCACGGCACATCAGGGAAAGAAGAAATTAACAAGATATGTGAAGTGGACATGTATTAAAATATTGGGATTAGTTGTGATAAGAAGGGGCGTTGAAAATACGTGTGATTGTGGAGGGATATTGCTAAAAAAGGGTTGACTTTTAAACTACACGTGGGTCTTTGCTGTAATTGTCTCTCTCTTTTTTTTGTTTGTTAATATTTGCTTCGATTTGGGCCTGAAAGTTTGTGGTAAGTAACATTTTACCATCAAATTCAGACCTTTTTTGCTTTATGTCACATTCGCAATTCGATCAATTCCTAATTTTCTATTTTGTGTTTCGAATTTCAACATGGTTGGTTATTAGTTTGATGAAGTTTAACTACTTCATTTCCCTCCTCGCGATTCAATGTCACCCTTAAAGCTCAGTGGAGTTGAGGCATCCAATGATCAGTACTAATTCATTTGAAGTGATTGTGAAATTTGGCCTTTTTTTGGGTCTGTTTGGTGGAGTGGTTAACTGTGGTCTCATGCTTGGAGACCCTTCTCCCTGTCTTTTTTTACCGTACTTATACCCTCTCTAGAGTGAACGACATATGTTGTTCGTGCTTCGATCATGCGTGGAACTATTGCTCAACTTTTTGGTTGACATTGATATAGTGGAGACTCCACTTTGATCATGAAGGATTTTCCTCTTTAGACCATTATTTCAGAGGATTTCACTTCACCAACATAATACATTGTTGTGCTCAACTAGACTTGGATTAAAGTTCGATCGAGTAACCAAACGATGGTAGCTCAATTGGGCGTTAGGAAACTGAGTAGGTGGAGTGAGAGTATATTCGACCCTTCCACGTATTATTTTTGGGAGAGATTTAAAGCCTTAATTCCAATACTCATCTCGAATTTGACCAGTCACGAAATGATGAACTAATTAAAATATCTTAAAAAAAATAAAATCGATGGGGTAAGCATTACGCACGTACGTCTGTCCCAGCCATTGCTATTCCTAATTTAGCTAATCCCATTTTAACACATAGACCTTGAGCCATTTGTTAACTTATATAGTTAAATATAGTTTATTGAAAATTGGTGGATGAAATTAAATTATAAAAGTAAGTGAGGGGGTTGGACGCAATTGTCATAAATAAAGAGCATACCAAAAAATAAAATAAAATCTTACTACATCTATATGCAAAGTTATAATGACAAGTTTATCCTGTAGACATACTTTTTATCATGTTTGATTTTATAGAAAAATATTAAAAATAATAAGAAAATAAAAGATAACATATGTAAGGGAGAATAAATAACAAACATATAATTTAAGTCTTCAATCTGACTTGTTATATGCCCTAACTCTAAATTAAATAAATTGATCACTGTCCTCCCTCTGAACTTTTATAAACCAAAATAATAATAATAATAATCAAGTTTTTTGACTCGTATAATTACGTTTAATTTATCCACTATTTTATTATTAATATCACATGAACTTTACTTATTTCTAATTTTAATAAGGGAGTATTTACTTAAAAAAAATCAGAAAATTTACTTCCATTTGAGAGAGATGTACATAAATTTTATT